CAAGAACTAGTAAACTCATTACCAGTCTGTATGTCCAACTCGTTTAATATTTGTCCTGTTGCCCATAGTGAAGTACACTGAATCAGTTAAGAACAATAAGATCTGACTGTTCGACAGGAATTGACCAGAATCCGGTAAAATACCTTAAGATGGCAGCTGATTACATCGCCTCACCATTGACCTATATCATCAACGGGTTTATTGCAAATCACAGCTTTCCAGATGTTTGGAAGACTGCACGTGTGTCACCTATACCCAAAGTAGCCTCTCCGACAGAGTTAGACCATTATAGACCAATCTCTATTCTCCCGGCTCTTTCCAAAGTCTATGAACGCCTCATTCTAAATCAAATTGTAAAATACATCGACCAGCATAATGTATTAAACGAGAATGTTACTGGCTTTCGTAAAGGCCATGCCACCTCATCTGTCCTATTACGAGTAAGAGACGATGTATTAAAGGCTATGAAAAAAGGAGAAATTACTCGAAGGCGTTTGATACAGTGGACTTTGCCGTAATAATAAAGAAACTTCATGCCATTGGCTTTTCACACTCATCGTTAAATTGGATTCTTAACTACCTTACTGGTCGGAAACAACTTGTTCAAGTAAATGACAGCCAATCTGAACTAGCAGACGTGTTGTTTGGTGTTCCGCAGGGATCGATATTGGGTCCCATGCTTTTCAACCTTTACGTCAACGACCTCCAAAATGATTTTACCTGCAGGTGCTTCCAATACGCCGATGATACAACAGTTTACCGTAGTTGTACTCCTAAAAATCTCAGTCAATGTGTGCAAGAAATGAATGACAACATACAAACTCTCGAAACTTGGGCCACAGAATCCAATCTCTTGTTGAATGAAAATAAGACTAAGCAGATGCTGATAAGCACTCGACAGATGTCAAGAAAGAACTCATAATCTCGGAGACATCACGCCACCTCTTACCATAAAGAATATATCCCTTGAGAGAGTTGAAAATTTTAAATTACTCGGTACGTGGCTTAGTGAGGAATCTCGAATATTCACATCATGTAAAGGAACTTGTCTCGTCTTGTTATGGAGTACTTTCAACCTTGCGCAAAATTCGGAATATGACACCACAACATACTAAAAAGCTATTAGCAGAAAGTCTTGTACTTTCTAAGCTAAACTTTAATGATGTCGTTTGCTATCCTCTCCCCGCATATCTACAAAAGAAAATGCAACATGTGCAAAACGCTGCTGCCAGCTTCGTCACTAATCGTTATTGTTCAGGAAAAGATGTCTTACAGCTTGGATGGCTTCCAACCTTGGAGAGAACTCAATTAAACTTCCTCAAGCATACTCACCGAGCAATCTACAACAAGGACTCTTGTCCTGAGTACTTAACCCTGGAAGTATATAATCTTGGAAGAATGCTACGCTCTAATGCAGCACCACGATTGTCGATTCCATTAATAAAAGGAACTTTCCAGGAGACAACAGCGAACTTATTCAATGATCTTCCCCCAGAAGTACGATCATGTGCAGACTTAAACGTATTCATGAGGGAAGTGAAACAATTACGGAAATCCAGAGCATTCCTACGCCTTGAATAGACTTATTTGTATTGTATTAGTGCAATGTTTCTTCTTATTAACAATTTAGTTTAAATTTATAACAATTATTAACAATTTATATATATTTAATTGTTTTCAGTTATGCAGATGTAAAGCTACCATGTAGATAAGCTGCAATAAAGTCTTTATTATTATTATTATTATTATTATTATTATTATTATTATATAGGTAAAATGAAATTTCCCTGAAAAGATACTGCAAGAAAAGTCATTCATATTTTGTTTATTTTGTATCAAGGAGCTGAAATACATGGAGTACCAATATTGTTTACATTAAATTGTCAAAGGTCAGAGTTCATACCACAAACATTTAAATATAGAGCTTATGCACATATTAATATTAATAATGGTATTGATATGATTGTTTCTAATATTTGGTTCAAGAACCGCGCCTGTTTATGACCGACTGCATTAATTGGTTTTGGTAAGCTTTTGATGGCTCGGTCAATTATTGATGAATCAATACTATCACAGCAACGAAACACACAAGATTTAAACTACTCAAATGATTATTTTTCAATCTTCAGTTTTATAGCTTCATCGGCCATTTTTTTCTTTATCAGGTGGAAGGTATTTTCTATAGGATTTAGGTCTGGGGAATGTGGACGTATGCGGTTCAGCTCTGCTTCTATATCATTTAGAGCAGAAATGGACTTTCTACTTGTTTATAAAATATCTACCGCTGTTGGCCTTTGCACCAGCTTTTGCAAAGGTTATGTTGAATCGAGTTCGAATAAAGGAAGAGAAAATCTCCTGACATTTTTTCATATGTGTCCTTCAAAATAATACCTTCCCCATATGCAATTGCAACCAACAGATGCAAGTGCTTTTCACCAGCGAGTTCTTTGCTGCCCCTGGCTGTCAACTGAAGTCCCTCCCCACACTTTTGCCACACCCTCGACTTTGTTTGGCACGCGTCTTTCATAGGATTAAACTTGTGAATAAATGACACGCCTTCGAGGTAAAATGATATCTGATTTTTGTAAAAATCTGGACAATCGTGTAGTTTTTTTCATGGTGGAGGCATATTGAAAGCTGATTTTTTTGTCCTTATCCGACAATAATCCCTTTTTTGTGCTTGAAGAAATTTGAATCCCATTGCATTCAGGTATTTGGTGTATTATCCTACGGTGTACACGGCCAGAAATCTCACAGGCCTGTCGCAAGCTGTTGATTTTACCAGCTTGCGGCAAGTTGTCAACAAGTCGAGACAGGTCTGTTGGTTTCGTCAGGCGGTAACAGGCTTGCGGGAACAGGTCTGTCGCGAGCTGTTGACAACAGAGCCGTAGCGACTTGTTGAAACAACCCGCTACAAACCTGTTGCTAACAAGAGATAACAGGTCTGATAGAACAAGTTGCAGCAAGTCTGTTGAAATCAACAGGTCTGTTCCAACTTCTTCCAACAGATCTGTCACGAGTTGTTTTTGTCAAGTCTGTAGCAAGCTTGTTATCAGACCTGCGACAGACCTGTCCACAACAAACAATTTTTGTCCTGTCACAACAAGTTTCAACAAGCCTGTTGTTGGGAAACGGAATGGACACGTCCCGCTTCACTTTCTCATTCAAGGCAATATTAAATCACATGCAGAGGAGATGAGGCTATGTGCACACGGTAACGTAAACACTATCTATCAATTTACAACAGAAGCTGTAGTTGATTTAATATGTTGGAGATATATTTTCCTTTGGATCGTGTGAACAGGGTGTCAAAATGATTAAAGGAAAAAAAGGTTTTGAAAACTCTGGAAAACGACGCCCGTGTGAAGATAACCTCAGTATATACTCTGTGATTAAATGCAAAAGCCGCTGTTTTTAACTTTTTATATTTTTAAAAAATAATTCCGATTTCCAAAATCCAATTTGCTGACATGTGCTATCGTTATATTTCTTTAATCTGATTGGATACAGGCGTGTGCACACGTCATCATTCCTCGTTGCAATTGAACGAAATATTACAAACATATCAATCACGTAATCATGTTTAGTTGTTTTTGAATTTTGAGCTGAACAAAATTTCAACTGCCTCAAACAAAATCAAACAAGTTCAAAGCTGTTTTGATTTTTGAAGAAACTGTGGCAATGAGAATACAAGATCTAGAGCTTAAGAAATGAAAAATACATGAGCAACCGAGTGTTCACTGCAACGTTCTTCATTGTTCAAATGAATATGAAATTTGTTATATACAATGATTTCTTTCCAATTTCAAGTGAAATCAGCGAGCGAGGAAGACGCCTTATTGAAGCTTTGTGTTATTGTATGTACCATTTTGAAGAAAAATATGCAAGTAGGTTGTCATATTTCGGTCGTACTTAAAGACCAATTAATTTTGAAAATTGTTTACGATAAGAACCTTTCTTGAATTTGTCGTATTTTTTCAGCTGTTTTGCTCAAAAATTATCTCGCAAGTTTGTTTATAAGTGTTCATATGAAAGTCTGGCTATTCCACGAAACACTACAACCGAAATATGGCCAAACTGTTTGGCCGTTTTTTGTTCAAAATAGTGAATACACAAGCTTCATAAGGCGCTCTCCTCGGTTTGCAACAGGTCTGTCGCAAGTTGTTGAAAACAGCATTGCTGCAGCTCTGTGTCAACACCTTGCGACAGGCCTGTTGAAAACAGCATTGCTGCAGCTCTGTCACAACAGCTTCTAACAGACCTGTTGAAAACAGCATTGCTGCAGCTCTGTCACAACAGCTTCTAACAGACCTGTTGACAGGCAGTTGCGGACCTGTCAGAACAGACAGGTACAAGGCGAGCGAACTCATCCAGATATCGGCTTGTTGACAACAGGATTTAACAGATCTGTTGCAGATCTGTTCCGACTTGTGCGTTTCTGGATTCTCAACAGTACACGTTTATCTCTAGCACTGAGTTTCGGTTTTGGACCGGCCTTTCTTCTGTGTTTATGACTTTGAGCTACTTCAACATCAGCGTTTGACAAGCCACACAAATTACTGCCCTTCTGGCAAATACAATGCACTGACGACTTCGACATATTTGACATTGCAGCAATCTTTCTAAGACTTGATTTTCCATTTTGCCTTAAAAAAAAGCACATATGCTTGTTGAAAAGCACTTAATCTCATTGCTATTCATAAATGTACTGTAAGTATCATTGAAAGTTTTATTTCAAAATTGCTTGTTTGTGCCTTTTCGATTATAATATATTTACCAATAATTATATCAATAATTTACATATTCTTTAAATCAAACTTAGGATAACCCACCAAAAACTAAGCCACTTACATTTTTTAAGGTTTCTGGTTACATTTAGAGTAATTTTTTCACAATTTACACAGTAAAACTGAAAAAATTATTTGCATTCCTTTTCAGACAATCATCAAACAATTACTTTGGGACAAGTTGGAAATGTTTATTACTTGAAAAGAAAGTAGAATGTGTCAGGTTTACATCACCTTGCACCCCCCCCCGCCCCACCATACAATGTTGGTACAACAGCATATGATATTCACAAGTATTTACAACATTTGCCAGTGAGAGATACTACAGGAAACCAACATTGTAAGGTGGGGAGTGGTAGTGTTTAAGTATGATTGCATACGTCCTGCAATAATATTTTCTATTTATAGATATTACAATTCTGTAGCCATAGTACTCTGGAGGACTACAAAATATAAATTACATAATGTACAAGTTTTTTATACTACAAATACATGCAAGCGTTCATGGCTTGCTTAATACCTCTTGTCTTGGCTTGTTTAGAGCGGATTTGATTTCTTCTTTGCCCTGTGCTTCTAGCTTTTTCTGGCTTACTGCGCAGAAATATAGATGGCACCATGTCTGATTTTAGCTTTGGCCTTTTTTGGTAGCCAGGCACAAGATCGAGCGTTCTTTCAAAGCAGTCTTGTGTAAAATGTGCCGAACAAACACATGAATTATTTATATCGCGTGGGTTTACTCAGACTGCGAATTCTTGCCAACCACGCTTCTCGCAAACCTTTTTCTTTTGGAATTCTGTGGTAGCTGATTCCCACAGTTTTCTGTGAGTTGTTAGTACACTCAGGAACCATGCAATGAGGCATCTTCGGTTAAAAAATATTTAAAAGGAAACTCTAAAGACTAAATTTGTTTCGAAGCAAATCTGATTATACAATTTGTTTCTATCACACACTTACGTCACAGCACTCATAGGACCACCCGCGGATTCAAAAAGAATTGAGGCGAGCAGATATTCATTCCAAGGTAGGCTCATATAAAGCTTTCTTATGAGTGACACTTGTTCTGGGGGTGGAGTGTCCCTTTAAAACAATGTCAATTTCTTGGGAAACTCTGAGGTTGCGTTTTTTTATACACCCTGTATTGAAGTAATCCAATGTTATTAGAATTTGAATGGACTGGCACTTTGCTGAACACAATAATGCGTAACTCTGTAAGCCTTGTTTTAGACATTGAATTTCGGTCGTGTAAAATGCAACGTAAGACAATAGATAATGAAGGCTGAAGCTTAATGAGGTTTATCATCTCATTATTCTCTTAGTCGCATTCGACGTACCTAAAATATTGCCGTATAAAACGTACCTAACATTATTGTCAGTGTGTATATAAAATTATTAAGAAAAAATTAGAATCTATTTGTAAAGGACACGATTTTAAAGCAGTCTCCCTTATATAAGTGAGAATTACAATTGTATACAACCTAAAAAGATACCATTAATTAATTAATTACATTATTTGTATACCTTTACATACCCTGTACAGTATACTGCATGCATAAATTATACACATCCTAATTATGCATTCAGTAAGTTTTTTTAATTGACCGGGAAAAGCAAGACAAAATTTTGTTCATTTCTCATTCAGTTTAACCAAATTTTAATCAGTTCTCCCTTAGCCGATGGGAAATGCTTTAAAAAAATTTCGTATAAATCTTTCCGGTATTTCTTGAGTTATCGTGCTGACAGGCAAACACACATACACACATATACACATACACACACACACACACACACACACACACACACATACACATACAAACCCAGATGATTACATAACCTCCTGGTGGAGGTAAAGATCAAAAGGACTTATTATATATACTAGCTAGAGATAATTAGGCCCAGTAATAATATCACAATGACAAGAACATGCATGCACACGACCATTTTCCCAAAAGTAAATTTTAACTAATGTGTAAAATACAGCATAAATGATAATTGTCCTCATAATTGTGCAAATTGTCAGAAATATAACTGCATCAATACCTCTATATTTCTATAGTTAAACACACCTTCAAACCAAATTAGGTTCCAGGGCCGTAGCAACGGGGTGTGCTGGGGGGAGGGGAGGGGAGGGGGAGGGGGTCAACACCCCCCAAACATTGCTCATGAGCAATTTCAGGTAGATTTCCAGTAGATTTTCAGGTAATTCTCAGGGCATAAAAAAGTGAACTCTATGGTATGAATCAGAATTAGAGCTAACAAACAAACAAACTAAAGACGTTGAAACATGTTGTAGTAGGGGAACAATTGCCAAAATAGAGAGCCGTTCATGCACGAGATAATTGGGGTGGGAGTGTATATTCATATATTTGTGTTCAGTCCGACGAATTTCATTTGAAAGCAATTGTTTTTACGGTATGTGGACATGAATATATGAATATACCCCCCCAATTATCACATACAGTTACGGCCCTGCCTTTCTGACGATTTGGATCGAGACTCCAAATTTCCAAAATGTTCTCAATTTTCCTGGTCACATGAAACTGTAAGTAGCAATACTTATCTTCATTGTTAGGCAATACTAAAATCCTAATTTAAATATTGGGTAGGAAAGACTGTAAAAAGACCATTTCCGATGATCTAAAGACTTCAAATTTTCAAAAAATCAGGTAAGAAGGTTGATTTGGAGAAATTCAGGTAAATCTAAACTCCCCCCTGTTATAATTAGGTTCTCAATATTTCAGTATCCGTAACAATCATTTGGTTAAATGTACTAATTTCTATTTGCATTCTGAGGAAATAGTCCTATAGCTATGGGATACCTGTATATGCATGGTTCTATTCTAAGACGTGCCGAACATTTCTTTATTGCTATTGAATTTCATTTATTCGCATTCAATTTTGTTTATTTGCATCGAATTTCATTTATTTGCATTGTTGCCATCGAATTGCATTTATTTGCATTGCGAATTACATATATCCACATTGCAAATTACATATATTCTATATGATTTTCATTTATTCGTATTGCAAAATACATATATTCGGATTGCAAATTTAATTTATTTGCATTGTGAATAAAATATATTCGCATTGCGAATTTCATATATTAATTTATTCATATTGCGAATTACAAATTTGAAACACTTTATGTTAAATGACTTCTGTTTATTGGCCTTTATTACTTGGTTGCATAAGTATACACTGTAGAGTGTAGCAATGGCGACTGTGCATAGGCAACCAACGGCACATAATGAACGAGGATTACAGACGTTTTTCGAAGAGTTTTAAGTCTTTTTTAGTCAACTTGGCCATGCCAACGAAGGAAGCCATAGTACTCTGGAGGACTTCATACAACATTACGTCTTTTAGTCAATCATACTTCAGATGTTGCGACAAGAGCAGGGAACGGAGATCTATTATCGATTGCACAGAAATTAACAGCTCTTCTCCGATGTACAAATAACATAAGCAAAAGCCTCTCTCTATTTCTGCCAACCAGATTAATTGTTTCTAGGCTTTTTTGTCGTACAAGAAAACCAGAGGTTGGTCCTGGACGCGCTCAGGTAGAAGTTAGTAAAGAACATTGAACTAGAGGTAATGAGACCACGCATAATGTTGGAGACAGGATGTGTCAGTTCCGCCAAATCTGAGCCAAAATCTAGCTGAATCTTTACTAGATTTTGTAAATGATGACTCTTCTAGCATTTGGGAAACTACTAACACAGAACAATTGTTAAATTGCATCGCTCCACCTCCAGGCGAACACCACTTGCTCTGTTCTTGTAACAGCTCGCTCATGAGATTCTTAAGCATTTTTGGACTTCCTTTCCACAGTAATCCATTTAGTTGTAAATGTTCTAGGAGTTGTGAGCCATCACATTGAATTAAACTATGTTCGACTTCAAAATCGTTGTTGTTGTTGTTGTTGGAACAAAGATCTTTACTATTTTCTAGCAAAATAGGTTCTGTTTGTTTTGTGTTAGTAGTTTTCCAAATGCTAGAAGAGTCATCGTCTACAAAATCTAGTAAAGATTCAGCTAGATTTTGGCTCAGATTGACGGAGCTCTCACTGACACGTCCTGTCGCCAACATTATTTGTGGTCTCATTAACTCTAATTGAATGTATTTACTAACTTCTACCTGAGCGCATCCAGGACCAACCTCTGGTTTTCTTGTACAACAAAAAAGCCTAGAAACAATTAATCTCGTTGGCAGAAATAGAGAGAGGATTTTGCTTATGTTATTTAAAGAGTGTCGAAGGCCATTTCGAAATGACATGGTACGGTGCAAAGCAACAGTCTCTTACATTTAGTGGAGAAGACGGACAGGTAATGAACGGTAAACTAATAGCCTTGATTGATAGGGAACTAAAAAGACAAAAAGTCAAAAGGATATCCTGCGGGTTGAATTGAATAAAAACTCTGAAGGCGAAGTTTCGACAACTCATATTAATGAAGGTGATAGTTTCAGTTCATTGAGTAGCATAGTTAATGCCTTGAAAGCAAAGATGAATAGATTTGAAGCGCATTTTGCGAACTTCCAGTCTGAAACAAACCGAAATATTGATGTTTTGTTTCATAAATCGGAAGCTAACTCAAACGAGCAGAAGAAGGAGGAAATTGATAGATTGCGAGAGGAAAACCACCAAATAAAGTTAGACAATGCTGATTTAATTCAACGCCTTAATAACCAGGTACACAATATAGCTGATTTAAATAATAAAGTTAAAACTATTGAGGAAGAAAAGGCTAGTTTACTAACAGTTATACAATTACTTCAGCCTAATTGTAATGATTCTAAGGTAGACAAAAGCAACAAACACGATACATGGTGCAGAAGTTCCAGAATTCCGACTAATCACTTCCAAAGAAACACACCAACCCTGCACAACAAGGACACAGCCAATTTCAATCAATATACCATGTTACCAGTGCATGAAACATCTGAGGACGATGACAAAGTCATAGAAATTGACAATGGCACCGAATCAAGTAAAGGGAAATCTACTACATCACCAAATGGAGATCCACCACTTTAAAAAAAACACTTTAATATCAGCTCCAAGACCAATGTTCGGGCCCAGAGAAATCAATCACGTCAACCCCGTGATGAACAAAGTCTTAAACACAAAAGCCAAAATCAACAAGATCGACCCAATAACATTGCAGCAATCGTGGGAGATTCAGTGTTAAAATTTCTCAATGCGAGAAAGCTTAGACATAGTACAAACACAAAAGTTTCAGTAAAAAATTTCCAGGTGCAAGAACAGAAGATATGATGCACTATGTCAAGCCGACCCTCAACAAACAACCAAGCAAGTTAATTATTCATGTAGGAACTAACAATTTATCAAGTAAATCGCCGAAAGAAATTGTGACATCCATTGCTGCTCTTGGAGACACAATCAAGACAGAAGATCCTAAGATTGACTTGACCTTTTCTGAAATTGTACTAAGAAACGGTGAAAAAGCTTTTGTTGACAAGGTAAATTTAGTTAATGAACGTTTGGATAAGTTATACATGCAAAGAAACTGGGGTCTCATTAATCATAAAAACATTAAGAATATTCATTTAAATGGGTCAGGACTGCACTTAAATCGTCAAGGCTTGGCCATATTAGCTAGAAACATAAAGACCCATTTATTAGCTAACTGACTAGATTATTCCCATTACCCAAAATTGAAGAGTTTCAAAGTTGGTCACTTAAATATTGCTAGCCTGCCTAAACATATCAAAGAGCTCAAAATATTCTTGAATGACATCGTGTTTGACATATATGCATCAATGAAACATGATTAGACAATTCAATTGAAAACAGATTAGTTGAGATACCATTGTAAGGCGTGATAGAAATCACTATGGTGGTGGTGTTGCAATTTACATACGTAACAATCTGGTCTACGTTAACCGGAATGATTTGATCCCTGATATTCTAGAAGCAATTTGCATTGAAGTCAAAAAGCCAAGAATGAAACCACTTCTAGTGTGCTCATGGTACCGTGCACCAGACTTAAATGTAGAGATTTTTGACAATTTCAAAACATTTTTATAAAAAAGTGAATATGAAAATAGGGATATAATCTTGGCGGGGGACCTTAACTGCAATCTATCTACCGAAACGAATATAACAACTAAGAAACTAAAAGATCTAATGCACAATTATTAACTAAAACAACATATAACTGCACCAATGAGAATAACTAGCAATCCTCAATCCCTGATCGATATTATTATCACTAAAATGGACGATACTAAACGCATTGACTCAGGAGTCATACATTTAGGTATTAGTGATCACAGTCTTGTTTAAATCTGCCATAAAGTTGCCAATCAAAAAGAAACCCCCAAATTAATAGAGACAAGACAATTTGAACACTTTGCGGTTTCATAGTGATTTAAGTGAAGCATTCAGGTCTTTCTCGATAACCCAAACAAGGCGTGGGAAATTTGGATAGAATTTTTAGAAATCGCAAATAAACATGCCCCACTTAGGCAAAGAAGGGTTAAAAGTGAATATTGGTGATGGATGACTAATGAGATTAAGAAACAGAGTTATCACAGAGATTACTTAAAAAAGAAAGCGGTTAGTCTGAATTCACCCTACTATTTCCAGGCCTATAAAAATGCAAAAATCAACTAAACAAATGCATCAAGGAAACAAAGACTCTTTATTATAACTCTAAACTAGCCAACAGTACAAACAGTGAAGAGAGTTGGCAAACAATTAACGAATTATTAAATCGGAAATCTAAAACAACAGCGATCAACAAGATTAATATGAACGGCAAAACAATAGGCGATGAAGAAATTGCAAAGGAATTCAATAAGTATTTCTCTGAAGTAGGCAAAAAATAGGCAGAAGAAATTCCTGATACGATATTGACCCTTTACATTATGTGAATCCAGTGTCAAATTCATTTACTTTCAAAACAATATCAGAAGAGGATTTAAACCGCATTATTATTCCAGTATGAAAACCTGCAAATCCACAGGAATTCACAAAATCTTGGTCAAACTCATACAAGCAGCAGGGAAAACTATTTTGAAGTCCTTGAAAAATATATTCAAAAATTGCTCGTGTTATGCCAATCTATAAATCCAAAAGTAAGGCAGACTGCGGTAATTATAGACCGATTTATATTATATCAAATGTCGCTCAAGTCTTCGAAAAAGTTATCTATATAGCCAATTAATTACCTTTCTGAATGAAAACAAAGTTATCGCCGAAAATCAATCCGGTTTTTGTCCAAATCATTCAACAGAGACTACTCTCTTACATTCAATAATCAATTATTTGGACAACATGGATAAAGGACTGATCAACGGAGTAGTTTTTATAGATCTTAGATAGATAGATGATAGATAGATAGGTTTAAAAAAATAAATTACATGGCAGCCATATAGGCTGAATTGCATAATTCTATATACAACATATATAATTTAAATTAGTTAAAATATAGTGATAAAACAAGCTATCAACATTTGGCACTCATAGCCGATATAAAAGTGTTCTTAAAACGATTTGTTCATGCTTTTTGAACATTAAAACTATGCGTTCATCTCAAATTGTACTTGGGTGTATGTCTTGGTGGAAGCAGGTGGTAACGTTTATGAGATGGATTGTTTGTAATGGAGTCAAATAGTTTTTGGCATGTATCTGCATGCCTTTCGCTTAACATCTTTAAATTCGCTTGCTCTAAGCTTTTCAGATAAGACACTACTGGGTTGATTATTGAAAGAGCTCTTTTTTGGATATTTTCAAGATCATCACTCAGATAACCAGATAACGAATGGTGAAAAACAGGAGAACAATACTCCAGAGTCGGTCTGATACACAAGCAGTATATCTTCAATAAATCCTTTTGTGGTACATTTGTGGTACATTCAATAAATCTTCTATAAATCCTTTTGTGGTACATTCAATAAAGTTGATCATGCTCTACTCCTGGCAAAACTTGAACTACAGTTGAAATTCATTGTCGCATTCCACAGGGGTCAAACCTAGGTCCTTCACTATTCAACTTATATACTAACGACCTTCCAAACTGTCTACAGACAACCAAGGCTTCCAATGTTTGCAGATGACACCAACCTTTCTTGTAAGGGGCAATCATCTGCAGACATTGAATGCAAATTAAACTGAGACTTAAACAATATTCAGAAATGGCTAACAAGTAATAAGTTAACATTAAACCTTACAAAAACTGAGTATATGCTTATTGGATCACAACAAAGGTTAGATAAAATCCTCGAAACTCCAAATATACTATATGGTGAACATCAGATAAAAAGGGTAAGGGAAAAAACTGTTCTTAGACTCATAATTGATGACCAATTAAAATGGAACAGACACAATGATGAACAGTGTAAAAAAATCTCAAAAAGCATAGCCCTTTTGAATTAGAAGAATTAGTCACAATTTATAACTCATTAGTCTTACCATGATTTAACTATTGCTCTAATATTTGGAATGATAATAACAAATCTCATATCAATAAATTATGGAAATTACAAAAGAGAGCTGCACAGGTTATAACTAGTTCTGACTACACTATTAGATTATCCCCCAAGTTTTTTGAAACCCTTCAATGGCATCCAATAAAAAATCTCATGGACAAACAAGATTTAACAATGATGTTTAAAGTTCTAAAAAACATGGCGCCTAATTACTTAACAACATATTGTTTCGTAAATGTGACAATTCTAATTATTCATTATGGAGCAACAGTTTAAAATTTGAGCCTTCCCAAGCCAAAAACAGATTTTCTAAAAAGAAGTTTCTCCTACCGTGGAAAGGTTTGCCCTGTGAACTTTTGCAAGTGGTAGACAAACGTTGATCTATTTCTTTTTGTAGCTTGATTAATAATTATTATAAAACTTTGTAATAGCTCGTATATGTTGTAGCCTAATATTTTAACTACTTATAAATGTTGTAATTATTTTTAAACACACAGCCCTTTGAAAATCACACAAGTGAAAGGCTACTATGTTTAATTATATTTAAATAATAATAAAAATAATAATAAAACTTTAGTAGGCACGTCGGGCACGCGCATGTTTGAATTTTTGTGCCGCGCAAGCAAGGGAATTGGCCCTAGTCATGTTGTGTTTTAAGCTGATCTTTGGGTGCCTAGCAACAGGGCAATTTTCGTTCATGTAAAATTTGGCAGCCATTGTTGGATTCTAGAAGTCTCAAAGATTAATCTGATACCAAATACTTTAATGTTATCGGTACTTTTGTGCTGAAAATTTAAAGCTATTATCGACAGTGTTGCCACTCCGAGTTGTCAAAATTGAGAGGATTTGGCTTCATATAACTTTATTCATATTTGTGTAATGGCTACTAAATATTTTCTATATCAACCAAACACTATCAGGTAAGAATCCTATGTTTTTATTATTTTTATTACGTGCGTTATTTCGTCTTATGACGGCTTTATTTGAAACATAGTTTTCATTACTACGCCATTTTTAGTTTCTAGCCTATGACTTACTATGGCAAGAAGAAAGGCTAAATTGTACAGTCGATTTGATGTTGCCACTTACATGCAAGAGAAGAAACGCTTAAGAAAAGAGACTGCATTAGCACACAAGACACTTGCGAAGAAAAAATCGAAATTAGACAGGCTTATACACAGGGTAAGTGCATGTAAAATGCTTTTTTTCCCATTCATATTGGGAGGTGTATCTAGGCAAATTTATTATAAACTGCTATTCAGGGTCTTCATAGAAAGTTTTCACGTTTATATTAAGGGCTCATTTGTACAAAAATTTACATTGTTACCAAGATTCAAGTAGTAGGAAGTTATGCTTTATATTAAAGTGCCTATATCACTTGTGGGATCTTTACGGATTTGGAAAGAGCACAAAAAGTTAGTTACTAAGTTCTTCAACCTTTTTTGATTTAGTTCAATAGTTTCTGAGATATAGGCCCTCAAACATGGCAATTTTGACCTTTTAGCAAAAAAAAATCCGTCGTACTAAATTTTGCTTGGGGGCCTGGGACTCAGGAACCCAATTTGCAAGCATGCCGTCTTTCCTAATAAAAAACATATATTTTCGCTTGTGATATCTGTTGCGTTTTTTGAAATAATGCCCGAACGATGCGTTGTCTATGGCTGTAACAACACAGCAAGATCAGAAAAAGGTGTATCTTTATATCGTATACCTTATTGCGACGATAATCGGCAAGTAGCAAAAGGCAGGCGAAAGAAATGGTTGGACTTTATTCGGCGGAAGAGAGACCAATGGACACCAAGTTCTGGTTCAGTTGTTTGCTCAAAACACTTCACGGAAGACTGCTTTGAATACGGTTCCCACACAGTCCCACTATACAAAACTCCTAAGCTTAAACGAGATGAAATTGGGATTACTGCTGTTCCATCTTTGATGCCAAAAGCGACATGTTTGGATAGTGAACGCAATGTGCGCCTACAACGCAGAGGAAAGGTATGAATATCAGAATATGTTTCTTGTATATTTTCTAGTGTTTTAGTTTGAATTAAAATATTCGAATCGTGTGTATTTAGTTATATTTCATGCATTTGTGTTAAACTATTTATGATCTTTGAATCTCTATACTTATAGCTATCATTTATGGAAGAAGGACCTTCGACTAGTATTATGGAGGAGCCAGCTCAGGTATGTTGGACTTTTAAACAATGTATCATATTTCCTGTAGTGATGTGTGATAATTTATCAAGGCAATGTCAGTCATATGTTTGTAAACCACATACAAATAGAATATATATATATATATATATACAATATATATATATATATATATATATATATATATATATATATATATATATATATATATTATAGATATATATATATATATATATATTATAGATATCATATGTGGAAGAACCTTCGATGGTGGGGAGATCTTTGAGGAGCCTCAGCCTTCTACCTCGGCAAACGTAAGTATCTATGTCAGCAGTGGTCATTTGTATATATACTGCTTGTAAACTCCATACAAATATAATTAAAATGCTAATTAGTGACAATCTTACAATAATTGGTGCTGTTATAAGTATTTTTTTGTGTTTTAGTTTGGTGAACAGTCTGAAAGCATTCAATGTGGTAATTGTGAATCCTTATTGAAGAGAAATAGACAGCTCCGTATAAATTGGCTGTCTGCAAAACATAGGCTTGAAATTTGCAGAAATCAAATGGACTCACAAGTGGAAAGCCAATTAGGTGAGTTACTTGCATTTCTTTTTGCCTTACATGATTGGGGGGGGGAGGGGGTGTCCAGACCATTGCAGAACAAGTCTGATTGCCATATATAGATGTATTAGTGTTTCAGTCACGCCCAGTGGCCAGTTTGATAATGGCTACATACTGTATATATTAACAACATCTTTTGATCATCAGGAAATGATTCCCAAGACATCCCTTCCAGCAATGATCCCACACCTGCAAGTAAGCCAATTGAAAGCAATGATGAGCATTCTAGTTCAGATATTGAATTACCTACATCAGATGATCTTTTTGATGAAGAAGCACCAATGGAATCGACAGAAACAGAGACAGAGGATGAGACAAATCCACAGCATAAAAAGTGAGTGCACAACCCTGATAATAGAATAAAATGTGTGGGTAGGCTAAGAACGACACCAGTAGTTTGTAATTACATATATCAGAGGCAGCCAACATAATCAGCTGCATGGATTTACTAAATATGTGTTAATTTTTCAGGGTTTTTAACGATTCTAATTTGCGAAGAGAACCAAAGTTCATTGTGTTCTTCACCCAGTTGCTTACACTCTTCAAATTTTGCCATGCCTGCAAATTTGACCATCCATTAATTGATGTTCAAGAGAATGGTACAATGGCTGAAGTAACATCCACATGTGCTAACCCAAAGTGTGGCAGGACAACCAAGTGGTTCAGTCAGCCGTATATGACAGGCACGAAGATCCCAGCTGGCAATTTCCTTCTATCATTTGCGATACTTGTTGCTGGAACATCAGCCACAAAAGTCTTGCGGGTATTTAATCATATGGGATTGAAATGTATCTCACTTTCAACATTCTTCAAACATCAACGTGTGAGTGTTGGTACATAATAAATGTTTAATATTATAAGGGGCCGTTTAATCACATGATCCTGGTTTGGAAATTGCATAGATGGGGTACCATTGAGCACTATTTTTCTCCCCTTGATTAGTAAATTTATACTTGCATTTTTATTTGCAGGAAAAGCTATTCCCTGGAATATTTATTCACTGGAAAAAATATCAAGAGGGATTGATTCAAGAACTGAAGAACCATGGTGACCTAGTGGTAGCTGGTGATGGAAGGCATGACAGCATGGGCCACAGTGCCAAGTACTGTGCCTACACAGTATTTTGTTGTACAGTGCCATTTATTATTCACTTTGCACTTGTGCAGGTATGTTACTTAGAAATACTGTGGAAATTGTAGCACATTATAGCTGATCAGCTTGGAAGATACAGTAATGTAATAACAACTGAAAAGCATACCACCACCCAGGGGAATTTTTAATGCATTTATACATTATATATGCATGTATTTATACAGTATAATTTATTTTTCATTTCTAGAGAAATGAAGCAGGTAGCAGTACTGCAATGGAGTATCATGGTTTTGTAAGGAGCATGGAATATCTTCTGGGCTGTGGATTACTGATTAAGACGTTTGTTTCAGATCGACATACATCAATTGCAAAGCACATGAGGGAAAAGCTGGCCAACATCAAACAATATTTTGACATTTGGCATTTGAAGAAAAGTATGTTGCAAATAATAATAACATGCAATATTTATTTATTTATTCAATATCAAAAGTCCATGTATTCTTGCATCTGAATACGTAAGAGTGTATCATGTAAAATTAGAATGCTGTTTTTAGGTTTGTAATCCAAGTGAGTATATATACACTTTAAGACCTGACCAGGAACGACTGTGAAAAATGCAGCACATTTTCCACATTGCATTTTTCGCAGTCGTTCCTGGTCAGGTCTTAAAGTGTATATATACTCAATTGGATTACAAACCTAAACACAGCATTCTAATATTAATTCCACCAAGTGAAGTGCAAGAGGCCGGATTATTGAGATCCACCTTATCATGTAAAAACCCATGAAATTTGACTGGCACCAGGACACTGAATAGAAACTGTACAGAAATATAACTAACACACCATGGATCTAGGCATTAAGGAGAGGCATCCCCCCCTGAATGTTTGCCATTTTGAATATACAGGGGAGTGGATGCCTTTCATAAGCGCACTGGCTTAGTCAGCATTTGATGACAAATCATGGCATGGCATGGTTACGGTGCGGTTTATATTCTGTAACCAGGATGCAAGATAAAATAGCCGGGGTATGATATTGCTCTGAGTGAGTGCATGAGTGATTGACAATTTTATTAACTGGTAAAGAATAAAATCATCAATAATTATGGAGAAATATGGAGCTTTCTCATTTTTTTGTTTCCTTTGATGGTACCGGTATATAATTTTTTTTGCTGTAATACCATTCTATTTTAGAAGTCACAAAAGTCTTGACAAAACTTGCTAAAGTTAGTGGCAACGAAATAATCAGTGAGTGGATTAAGCCATGTACAAACCACTTATATTGGAGTGCCAGAACAACGCAAAGTGGAAATGGGGATGTCATTTGGGCTAAGTTTTCATCTTTCTTCAGCCATGTTGTTAATAAGCACAAAAATTTGACAAACCTGTTGTTTGATAAGTGTGCACATGCAGATGAGATTCACCCACGCAAGTGGATGGATGAAGGTTGGTAGTGCTATGTCAATGTTGTTATAATTAGTACAATACAATATTCCACAATTCCTCTATGCAATTGCCTGTAAATCCTGATCCTTGGGTCATTGAAATGACCAACTTCATGCTCAGATTTATGACCAACTTCATGCTCTTTTTACCTTCCATACTGGGCTAAAACCAAAAAATCCCTCTTCCAATAGTACAATCTCATAATAAGTAAATTAATTAAATAAAAAGCAGAAGCCCTTTGGGGGTATAAAAAGGAATAAAATTGTATATTCACAACTTGTGTGCACATGAATAGTTTTAATTGTTCAATAAAATAAATATCTATTAATCATTTTCAGGTTCCATTGCTTATGAGAAAATGCTTGCAGCTTTAACAAATAAAAAATTGATGAATGTTATAAAGAAGGCATCTCCTATTGGTCAGACAAGCTGCCTTGAAGGCTTTCACTCTGTACTGAATCAATTTTCACCAAAAATGATTGGATACAGCTATCCAGGAATGTTCTGCAGGTATAGTGATTTTTGCAATAGCATGTTTGTATATTTATCACTCTTTAATTAAACAATTGTATTGGAATATTGAAAGAGGCGAGATCTCGCTTGCCGGGATGGAAATTTCTCCATATAAACACTCACAAGCGGGCTAGCCCGATTGCCGGGATGAAAGTTCAAAGATACCGCCGCAAGCTATTTTTAGCAACTGTCAAAACAATACAATGTAACAAAATTGTCCCGGCAAGCGGATGAAATTTTCTCATATAAACAAGAGAAATCCATCCCGCTTACCGGGCTGTCTCGCTAAGCGGGCCAGCCCGGCTTCCATATATATACAGGCCCTAAATAACACATGAGTCAGAAATAAGAACTGACCTTTCCTTCGAGTCAACTTGTCTATATTTCTGACCACCGCGTGTTTTAAAATTCTCGGTTGCGAGCTCCAAAGCCCACCTGTTTAGACAAATCGCGTCAAATCCTGGATGGTTTGTGATACACATTTGTTGGCTATTCGCGAGAGTCAATGCATCAACACACTTTGGTATTTCAGTGCAACAGCGACATTCCTTTGCATCTACTAAATTATCTGTATTACAGAAACCACAATTACACCTAGAAAAAAATATGGTTTAGCTGTTATGATTTCAGTATTAATACAATATAGTTTATGTAAACATATATATTCCATCAGACCATGGCAATATGGCGGCCAAAGATATTGATTATCTTACCAAGAATTCACGGGGTTTTGTCCGTTTAGTCGAAGATTTAATTCCTCTATTTCCCTGGTATATTCGTCTTGTCTTCTTTCATATTCTTCGACCCATGATTCGTCTGCAAGGGGCTCGTCAGTGTATGCTAACGAGTCCATGCTGTCTAGCAATTCCTCTTCGACGGCATATGATGGCTCACTCTCATACCCATCTTTTGACGTCGTTTCAAAATCTTCATCTTCAATTTCATATTCAGGGCAACCATAGGAGCCCTCGTCAACAGTAGAGGACGATTCTGAGCTAGACATAGCGATTTATCTTCAAAATAATTGAGTTTTTGTCGGCCGCGATGCAAAAATGTAATTGATTTTATAATACTTGACGAACGACCGGTTCCTGAGTCCCAGTCCCCCAAGACGACGGATTTTTTTGAAAATTGCCATGTTTGAGGGCCTATATCTCAGAAACTATTGAACTAAATCAAAAAAGGTTGAAGAACTTAGTAACTAACTTTTTGTGCTCTTTCCAAATTCGTAAAGATCCCACAAGTGATATAGGCACTTTAAATTACTTGTGGTGTCTGTTATAGACCACCCAACCTATCTGCAGAGGCTATTGATGAATTTTTTACGTGTTTTCAAGAAAGTCTGATTTAATTTTTTCTACATCTGGATTTTCAGCTGTGTTTATTCTAGGTGATTTTAATGCTCACTTATCAGTAGTAAATGCTGATTTGCTCCTTAATTTGACGATATATCAAAAATGCCCTCATCTTTCCATATTAACAACCCCCAGTTTAAATACAATCGTAAGCTCCTAACCCAGCGTTACTGTACGGCTCAACACTAACTTAATTGTTGTGACGTCATTATTGTAAATATCATGAATAAATCCTTATTTCGATCACAAATATATTTTTTTGATCTTGACCGTAATCACAACCTAACCCTAGCTTTATTGTGCGCGAAACATGAGAATCTAACCATAAATTATTTCTCATTATAAAATAACATGTACACAACGCGTGCTCTGATTGGTCGAAACCCGTGTTTGGATCAGGCCATCCAAACACGGAAATTTAAAGTGAAAGTTTTTTAAAGTGAAATTTTAACGAGGAAAGTTGTTTTTTTATAAAACATTTGGCTCGTATTTCGCACGCTTATCTTAACTCTCGCAACATTCCCGCGTGTTTGGATCAGGCCATCCAAACACGGAAACCATAAAGTAATTGTATAATCTTACTATCCTACCGTTACTCTAATATTTGTGACATCAGAACGACGATAGTATGGAAACTTGTACCCATTTTTGGAACCATTTCACTAGACTACAATATGAGCCAATAATTATTTTAACATTACACAGATTATTCGATGCCTTTAATTGCACAACAACGATAGACTGTATCACTATTAAAAACCATGCAGAAACATTACTTCAAACTATCATAAGACCACAACTGTACAGTGCGCGGTATGTACACGAGCAGTAGAGTGCTTTATCAGATATAAAAGACGAGAGCGCAGCTCGAGTGTTTTATATCTGATATAGCACGGACTGCGAATGTTTTAAATGGCTTAAACGTAAACTGAACCTGATTCACACACATGGCGTCCCAAAAAAACATTGAAATAACCTATTGTTCGAATTTGAATGCCTCGGCACACTGCTGAACCCACAACGGTGCATAAAGCTTGACAGGCAAAATGCTATCGTCCCAAAAAAGAGTTCGTTCATTTTTGTTCCTCTATATTTGCCTGACTAATATCTTTAAGAAATTATTGCTAATTCATATTGTTAGAAAAATTGTATACCCGCTGAGTGCGATAGTGTTCTACTTCCTGAAGTAAAATCCGCAGACTCCAATTGGCAATTAGCTACATGATTTACAAGGAGTTTGAAGTTTAGGAACCAATCATGCCGCGATCGTCAGATCCATCTTGCCTCGCATCTTGCCGTGTTTAACTACAACTTTCTTTGCTTGTGTGTATATTGTTTATATATGTTCATTATATATTGTCAGTTGTCACTTGATTGATCTTTTCATTAAATGAATAATCAATCAAAAGCTATTTTTCGCCCCCATAGGCGTCGAAAGATCGATAAGTGGGGGGGGGGACTATATTCATATATTCGTGTTCACAGACCTTAAAAACAATCGATTTCAAAAGAAATTAATAATGCAGAACACGAATATATGAATATGGTCCCCCCCCCCACTTATCGATCTTTCGACGCCTATGTTCGCCCCGAATTAGCAAGACAACTTTTCCGGCCACCAGACGGTCGGATTCCACAGCGTTTTTGACACGATTTCAATCAGACGTACGTTTCGCACAACACTCCAACCCGATGATTAGAAGGCGGCGAAAAGTAAGGCTAGCTAGTATAAAGGCAGACTAGCTTCAAGCAAAAGTAGGCGTATTTATCTGAAGGTATCGTTCCAGTTATATCAGTTCAATGCCCGCCACAAAGCAAACGTGTGCGAAAACGGCTGAGAACGAGATTGTTATCTCGACAAACATAAAGTATAGCTAAAGAATCTTCCTGACACATAAGTATCATCACTGTATCGCAATAAATGTTTCTGCGCGATCAGTGGCCTCTAGAATTTGCCAGTCCATTTGACATAAATTTGGTGTCAGTACGACATTGTTGTGCTTAGCAGTAATATTGCTAATTTGCCGTTTAATTTAGGTTTTTGTAAATTAAATTTGCATTAAATTTGCTTGTTTTTTAAAGTGCTTAAAGGAGAACATTTTTACTGAAGGCGCTTGGCAAAATATATAAATATTAAGCAACTATTGGATGATGCTGAGCGTTGACCATAATAATTCTATACATTTAAAACGAAAAGAGAGCAAACAAAAAAACATGCAAGACTCGCAGCTGGTCGAAAGACACAAACCATTTCAGGAAAAAATTATAAATACTTATCGAAGATTGTTTTTCATTCTTCTCTGCCAATTTTGGTGCAGTCACTGTCATTTTTTGTTAAACGAGAAAAAACTTAAACAAACTTGGGCTTTAATTTCCCGGGCATTTTATGAAAGTTTGCGCTGGCGCTTGCGCTCTACAACGTGTAATAATATGGGGTTTTTTATTGAATATGGATCCAAAAAAAACATTGCATTCTGATCGATTCGTCAGCAGCTGAAATAAGATGAAAATTACCGGATATGGAGAATTATCCGCTCATTTCTGACCAATCAGGAGCGAGAACACAGTTTAAATGTGTCATAATCACTAATATTAGATACATACAGTATGTTCTGCCTAAACATATAATTATTATTTTGAGGTGAAAAATAAACAACGTTTTTTATTCAGTAGACACTTCAAAAGTTGTCGATTGCGATTTAGCGGCCATCGTGTGTTCAGCAAATGTTCAGCAAGTGCTCAACAAATCAATTTATATCTACAATCCTGGACAAAACCATCTGCGACACTTTATGAAAACATTCTTTTGTGCCTTTTTTTTTACCAATTAAATCGGAATAATTTACTCGTTTGCCCCCCTCCTCCCCCAAAACAATGTTGGAACTTTAATTATACTACATCAAGTGTTTTTTTACGCTAAAACGTTTTCTTAATTTGCGAATTAGGTTTTGCACTATAATAAGTAGGGTCCACTATGGTTAGGGACCGGTCATTATTTATGGCAGGGGTGGGGGCCGAAGAGAAAGTATAATGAAGCCGGAAAAAATCATTACCCCACCTTTTTCGAAACAAAATTTCTAGCTACCCCACCGGTGGAATGCCAGAAAATTTTTTTACCCC